GTGCGTTTCCCGAAAGCATCGTTAGCCAACTATGGTCGCAAGTTCCGTCGTTATCTGCATAGTTTAACGAGTCGGTGTTTCCCGAAACCATCGTTCCAACGAACATTCGCAAACAGCATCGCAAAGTTGTGTGGTTTGAACGACAGCTCTCGACCTGTGGTTAGAGGCATCGTTTCTATATTGCATGACATTTGGAGGTAATAAATCCTTATCTTGAGCAAAATAAGCAAGCTGACATTCAGTACAACTGATGCCTTTTATTTAGAATAAATACAAATGGAATTTACGTATTTTAGTTTGTCAAAAGATTTGAACTAAGAGCGCGCATGTGCGAACGTGCTCTACTATGTAAGAACGAGCCAAAAATTGAGTCTGGTCAATTAGAAATAGTCCTCAGATGACATGTCTGTAATTTATATAAAACAAATCTAGCGTTAATTGGATCTCAAACAGTTTCATTAAAAAGAAGTTATTACTCCAACACGTGCGAAACCAACGTGGTTGAACGATAGTTTGCGACAGTGGGTTTCGGGAAACAGTCGTGACTAGCTAGTTGATTTTTCCAAGGATGCATCGTACTATGGTAGTGAAACATCGAACTACGTCGTTGTTCGGGAAACGCACCCCTGAATAGCTCGAAGGGCTGTCAATCCTCCAAAGAGAACTTGAGGAAAAATATTGTTTTCTTATATATTTTTACTTTTAGTTTTAATGTTAGCGCCATCGTCTCTCTTTCGTTTCGCCATTTTTGAAAGTTGTGTACGGAAAAGTTTCTGTGCTCCTATTGGTCAACCTCATACATGTGACCGAACCCCCTCGTGGACGACCGTTAAAAAAATTAAACATGCTAGTCTTTTTGTTGTGATGTCGTGAAGTCTGTGGTGTAAAAAATGTCACATCAGCAAACACTTCAGCAAAACATGATCAGGTCAAAGTGTCTGAATAATGTTTGGTCCCAAAATCTTATAAATATTACTGGTAGTCACTGTATGAAGGATGTTGGGGTATAATAAGTCTCAGTTTGCTTTTCTCACTTACATAAATGAACTTTAGTGTCCCGCACCCTCTAGTAAAAACACATCAAAAATGATATCTGGTGCCTAAATAATTTTTGGTTTTACTGTATAAGTGTGTCAGATCTAATTTAGGCATTCGGTTACCGGCCTATCATCAATTTCTAGAGTACAGCGAAACAAAGTGTCCTGAAATACACCGAGATCGGTCACAGGCTGTTCTACAGCTCAGCGTTTTCAGAGGGCAGAGCGAGGGCAATGACATCATCCTAAACCAAGAGAGAGCCGCGTTTGTGCCGTCCATCCAGGTCTCCTCTCGTTCAAACACAGCGTGATGATATTGAAATAACTGGACCGGGGGGGAAAAGGTCAGAAAACTCAAGATTGGAAAATAATCCAATCTGACATGCGAAACAGCTGTTGCATTGTTCAGTCCAGAAACCAAATGGCTCCCAATTGACCACGTTGAGATCCCATTACTTTTCCAGTTGTTCCTGTTGACTTCAGATTATTTTTTTTAACTTATAACTACTAGCTGATGAAAACAGACCATTAAATCACATTTTTACTTTTATCGAAGGCAACTTACAACAAGCGATTTATGAATGCGATGCACCATCCATTATCCAAAGCTGTTGGTAGATTGTGAAGGTTTAAGAAAAGCAAATATCAGCTGATTTATATGATGCATCTCTGCTAACTGTCTACAATGGAAATAAATAACACATGAATGCTTAGACTCGGTTAATGATGGGGAGATTAGACCAGACTGAGCTAATGCTGGGCATCTGGACTGACACAGATCCAGAGGAAGACGTCATGCATTTACAGTCATCACAGATGCTCTCTAACCTTCAACCTCGAATGCATTTACAAATATGACACGATCGAGACTCTATAAATACAGAGGAAACCATTGTTTCTACACACAATAAGCACTTTCTTTGTCCGCGGTTTGTCATTCTTTCTCTCACACACACACACGTCACACACCCGTCTTTGTTGTCAAACTGATGCGGTTTGTGGCGTTTAATTCTCACCTTGCTCCAGGTCTCTCTGGTCGTACCAGGGCTCGTCCTCTTCCGTGACAAACTCGTCCATTCTGTCGGCTCGGAGCATCAGTGTGTCGCGGTAAACGGAGGCTCAAAGATGCGGAGATCTATCAAAGCGATACAAATGCATGAGATTGCAACATCTGCCTTGTCAAGGCGTTCATGGACTACATTTACAGTTGCATTAAAAACACAAAGACTTTCCTAGATGTCCATATTGTGCGTTAAAAACACACTTTAACCAGCTATTTTGTACGCTGAATAAATGTGTGTTTTTTCGAGCGGCATCCGCGATGGAGAGATCCGCTCAACGCAACAATGACAGCGCGAGCTACTTACTGCGAACAAACACGCGCTCCGTCCGCGTCAAATGTTTCCAGCATGCCAGGAGAACATTTCCTACGAATTAAAGGAAATGTCACGGTGTTGCCATTTAGTTTTGTCACGTTCAATCCCTCCCACTGCCGTACTAAGCGCGGATATCTCTCCTCATCCGAGTTCCCAACAACATCCCGTTGGTTTCGCCCGAGATGATGAAGTATCCGAAATCCTAGTATTGGGAAGGTCAGGCTGTTAATATTCATGAGCCAAGCTTCGCTATTGGTCGGCTGCAGGGCCACGTCAACAGTCTCTATTAATATTCAAAAACCGGCGTCAGCCATTGGATAGGGTTCCGAGTCTGTCAAAAATGGCCCTTTCAAGTCCTTAAAAATATGAGGAAAATCTTTTCTTTTTTTTAACTTTTGATGTCAAAATGAAACGTGTCCTGTGTCTGTTCAGACTAGTCTTAAAAAGTTAGTCATCTATTTTTTTTTCAAGACTGGTCGTAACTTTTTTAAAGTCAGTAACTAACGTTACATAACAAGGTTGGATTAATTTTTTTTTTTAAGTAATTTTGCAAGTTCTAATTTTGAAAAAGTGATCACTGATCACCTCTTGTCTAACTGGTAGTTGGCTAAACTAACGTTAATCTTCAAACTAGACACAATCCAAATTCACGCAACTGCAGATCATCTTTGCCAATGTTTATCCGACCTTTAAACATCTTCCAGTTATATTTATTATGCACAAGCAAATAAATCCTTGCCACTGAAAAAATGAACTTGACACATCACCACAGTTCATTAATATTCATGACTTACCACACAAATCCTTCGTCATAGTAGGAATTGTAATTTCTCCTCTTCCACTGAGAGAAACTGGAAAACACCATAATCCGTTCTTCCGGAAATCTGAGGTCTGTTTTCACTCCGAAGAGGGATAATTAGGGGCTCTCTATTCAGCTGTGACTGTGGGCTCAGTCGAGCGTTAAACTCGTTTATTTCGAGCAGTTTCCCGCAGAGAGGAAGACAATGACATGATTATGGTGTAATTTTAGAAGTGGCTAATAATAGCACGGAGCCAGGTTGAATGGAAAGGGACTTATTTTCTTATGTGCAGCAATAAAACTGAAGACAAATGTGAGATGAGAGATCTAGGCGACCCATAACGCAGCATAAATGTGACAGCTAGAGCAGAACAGCATCCCAACTCTTATATAATTCCCATTCAGTTTCTCTATTAGGCTAAGTACTTGATTTTCAGTAAAAAACACTTCAAGACAGACCTCGGAGGTTAAGCGATCATTTTATCCTTCTGTAGAAGTCAGTGTGTGAACTTCACCTTTGCAAAAGTGTTTAAAAAGCCAGATTCCCAGTGAAGAACTACAATACCCATAATCCTGAAGCGAGATCCACCAATCAGAAAACGCAGTTACTAGACTGCATTAGTGCCCGAACCACTTTCACAGTCAGTATTTTTTTTTTTTCATTATAGCATTATAAGCCATGAACCAAACCAACCAGCAGCGCGGTGAATCACATCACAACCTTTGATTTGACATGAAAATGTAGTTGAAAATCAGACAAAAAGACTTTGTCCTTGTTCAAAAAGGTGCAAGACGGTGTACTTAGTGGATTTAATGAGGGAAAGAACTACAATCCTAAAGAATTGTGAATGACAATCGAATTTCAATGATGTTAAATAAACTATTTATTCATAGTTGTTGATTATATCTATAAATCAATATATTTTATGTTTATTTCAAACTGCATTTATATCCAAACGTTTAAGTATTTTGAGAGTGGATGCAGGGTTTTCTGTCTCGATTTGCACACCACAACTCTGATTGGTGGAATTTTCTGTACAGCATGATGGGAAATGTAGTTTTTCACCATTAATTCAGCTGTTAAACAATTTTAAAAGCATGTTGAAATAATGGGAACAAAATGGTTTCAACAAAAGCATAAACCATCAATTAGCAAGCTTGGAGCTTGCAGTAGAGCTGTCTTTAAAGGTTAAAGGAGTAGTTCACTTTAAAAAAAAAAAATAATGCTTATAATTTGCTGATAATTTACTCAACCCCATGTCATCCAAGATGTCCATGTCATTCTTTCTTCAGTCGAAAAGAAATTAAGGTTTTTGATGAAAACATTCCAGGATTTTCTCCATATAATGGACTTCAATGGGAACCAAACGGTTCAAGGTCCAAAAGACAGTTTCAGTGCGAACTGTTCAAAGGGCTTTAAACGATTCCAGACTATGAATAAGGGTCTTATCAAGCGAAACGATCGCTCATTTAATGAAAAAAAAAAACAAAGTTTAAGTTTTATAAGCTCAAATGCTCGCCTTGCTCTGTTCTGTGATGCACGTTCGTGACTCTCCTGTTCGAACTCGTTCATCAAAATGAACAAATCTTTTTCCGAGTCAATTCGTTCATTTCGTTCGTTGAATAAACCAAATGACTCGAAAAAAGATTCGTTCATTTTGATGAACAGGAGAGTCACACAGTTTGTACTGAAACTGTCTTTTGGACCTTGAACCGTTTGGTTCCCATTGAAGTCCATTATATGGAGAAAAATCCTGGACTGTTTTCATCAAAAACCTTAATTTCTTTTCGACTGAAGAAAGAAAGACGTGGAAGAATGACATTTCTCCTGTGGAGAAAATAAATGAGGAAAATATATACGCAACCGAGGCTACTAAAAACCCCCGGATGCTTACCGCTCTATTGAAGACCAACAAACCTCCCAATTATGCCATAAATTATTCAGCATGAAGTACTTCTCCATTTGTGCACTTTTAATGGAGTTTTCGATACAGTTCACACCACTTTGAGTGCATTATAAGCAACTTATGCTACATTACAGTTATTGCGGTCTGTTGCTTGTTCAGATTTCCAACATAAATGGCACTTTCCATCAGTTTATATTCATGTGCAATGTATGCTTAGGCCCTCGCGGTACACCTGAGATATACAGCGGCAGCTGCTAAACATGCGGCATCTCGGACATGAGAGGAGGATTTTCAGAGGTTTGGATGAAGGGATAGAAAGACGGAGATCGCTATCTGTCCTGGACTTTGAAGTGTGTCCAATCCGTCTCGCTCTCGCAGCGCTGGATCCTGCTGAAGAAACACTTGATGAAGCTCTTGGCTTCCGTCTTCACTGCGGGGACAAATGACAAATCATGAAGCGCTAATAATGAAAAATGTTGGATGTTGATGAGGTTAAGGATAGTCTCACCTTGGCCTTGATTTGCAGTTTTTCCCTCAGTGAGATGATGGGAGAGGAAACGGGCAAAGGCTTTGAACAAATCCTGTCGGGGGGGAAGAGGTGCAAAATTGAAACGTTCATTCTAACGTTCATCCATTTTACATGTTTTACATATGAATGGAAATGATCACCTTGGTGGCGAATTTGCCCTTTTGGTAGAATGGATCCAGGCATCGGACCACGATATCAGCGGCCTCCTTCAGTGTCACGGGCTTTTGTGAAATCGCAGCCGCGTCTCCATTCATTGTGCCAAACTGTGTCTCCTGCACTGTCGGGTCAAAGGTCACTCTCTTGCTGTCCTTCATCACGCGGTTGCGTTTGGCAGGAGGAGATGCCGCTCTCTCCTCACGTGACTGAGGAAAACAAACAGACATTTCAATTTCAAAACACATTAAACAAAAAAAATCCTACATTAAATAAATAACACGGAATACATATTAAAGAATACATATATATACATACATATATACTGGTTTATATATATATATATATACGTATATATATATATTTCAAATCAAGGCATGATAAACAAGGGGGCTATAGAGATGGTTGAGAACAAAGCTGCACCGATTTGGGAACAAAGGCTGCCTTCCTCCTCTGTGTCCTAAAACATGAGGAAGCCACTCGGAAACAGAGAACATCACATGTGAAGTGTCTCGTAAAATCCTTCAAAGAAAACCTCAACATGTGCTGTTCACTTATCCAATCATTTCGGAGCAGACTTTAACCGAGCACTCCAGACTATTTCTATTTTGGAGGCTTACAGAATGAAACCAGCAGACAATGGAGAATATAACGACACTTTCGATATATAGGAGTAGTAGAACATAGTGAGCAAGTTCTTCCTAACTCCAGATGAATTGAGCTTCCTTAAAAGGTGCTGCCGCTGCTGGCGCTGGCAATCAGCTCTAAATAAAGCTCTTGTTAGGGGTCATGCACTTTTTTTAAATCATATTTTTTTCCCCTAAGGTCAATGTTTCTCATAATTTTACAGAATCCCTGAATTGAAAAGTAAAAAAAAAATCTGTAAAAATTAAAATTAGAGAATTAAGTCATGGAATTGACAATAAAGTCGAAACATTGCGAGAATAAAGTCATAATATTTTGAGAATAAAGTAAAAATAAAAATGTTTCATGTTTATAGTTACTATTATTTTTAGATATTTTAGCACATTTCTTAATTTAAAAATCATATTTCTAAATGAAATAATTTAGACTTTAATCTCGGAATATTTCGACTTTAATTTCGGAATATTTCGACTTCAATCTCGGAATATTTAGACTTTAATCTCGGAATAGTAAGGCTTTAATCTCGGAATATTTAGACTTTAATCTCGGAATATTTAGACTTTAATCTCGGAATATTTAGACTTTAATCTCGGAATATTTAGACTTTAATCTCGGAATATTTAGACTTTAATCTCGGAGTATTAAGGCTTTAATCTCGGAATATTTAGACTTTAATCTCGGAATATTTCGACTTTAATCTCGGAATATTTCGACTTAAATCTCGGAATATTTCGACTTTATTCTAAGAATATTTCGACTTTATTCTAAGAAATATTTCAACTTTATTCTAGGAATATTTCAACTTTATTCTAAGAATAGTTCAACTTTATTCTCAGAATATTTCGACTTTATTCTCGGAATACTTCGACTTTAATCTCTGAATATTTTGACTTTATTCTCGAATATTTCGAATTAGTTCTCAGAATACTTCGACTTTAATCTCAGAATACTTCGACTTTAATCTTGGAATATTTCGACATTAATCTCGGAATACTTAGACTTTAATCTCAGAATATTTCGACTTTAATCTCGGAATATTTCGACTTCAATCTCGGAATATTTCGACTTTATTCTAAGAAATATTTCAACTTTATTCTAGGAATATTTCAACTTTATTCTAAGAATAGTTCAACTTTATTCTCAGAATATTTCGACTTTATTCTCGGAATACTTCGACTTTAATCTCTGAATATTTTGACTTTATTCTCGAATATTTCGAATTAGTTCTCGTAATACTTCGACTTTAATCTCGGAATACTTCGACTTTAATCTTGTAATATTTCGACATTAATCTCGGAATACTTAGACTTTAATCTCAGAATATTTCGACTTTAATCTCGGAATATTTCGACTTTAATATCGGAATACTAGACTTTAATCTCGAAATATTCTGACTTTATTCTTGGAATATTTCGAATGAATTCTCTGAATTTTTCGACTTTAATCTCTTAATACTTTGACTTTAATTTTGGAATATTTCGACTTTATTATCGTAATTTATGGGGATTACGGATTTTTATTTTTTTTTTATGTTGCGGTTCAGGGCTTCCTTCCCCTATAATATGATTCCTTTGATGAAGAATAAATTGTGATGTTACTTGTTTTGGTGATTCTTGTTGGTCATCAGACTTCAGATTCCCTCTGTTTGGACAAAGAAACAGCGGTTCAGAACACACTGAGAACATTTAAGGCATTTCCTCCATGATGACTGAGGGCGTGTTCACACTTGTAGTTCAGTTCTCTTGGTTCGCTTGATCCGGACCAAAAAAAAAAAGAAACTGATACATTTGGTTCTGGTTCGGTTAGCGTTCATTATTTTTAACAAGGACTTTTATGACTGAGGCCTTGCCTAAACTAAACTAATACGTTTTCATTTGAAATCGCATCTTTTTGGCCTTCCGTCCACACTGAGACGGCGTTTTTTATCAAACAAAAACTACGCTTTCTGAAAACGCTCTCCAAATTGGATACATTTAAAAACACAGTTTTTTCACGGTGTTGTGTGGACTGTGAAAATGGAGGCATTTGAAAAATGATGATGCAAGTTTAGTCTTGTGACGCATATTGAACCCATAATTTATAATGATTATAAAACGGTTCGTTTGAGTCCTTGATTCTAATTATTCAATATCTGTGTTTAATTCACGATAAACTCGCAAACACGAGTATCACTACACAACACCCCTAGAAACCACATAACATTCTCATTGATATTGTTCACTGAAGCTTAAAGAGTAGAGTATTGTGAGAGCTGTAGTAAGCTAGTGTACCTGCATTTACAGTAGATATAGCATTTTCCTTCAGGTCAGTCAATATAGATTCTTAATAAAAAATCAGTTTGAATGTCCAGTGCGATATCTTGTCCTTTTAACAGTTAAGGGGTTTTCACAAGAAGTTTCAGTCCTATAAAAGTCTTCTCTACTGACTCACTCACTCCCTCCATTAAATGGCGAAATAATGTCATTTGTGTTGCTGTACATGGTCAGGGACTATTTTTTTTTCCAGCGGAAGGAATGATTTTAGTGATTTTACTTCAATAAAGTTGCATTGATACATATTTTTTGGTTTTAATATTTGTATTGTGAGGTAACCGTTTTATAAAAGCAATAAAGAACGAGGCTAGAGCTGTATTGTGAATAAGTCACGGCTGAAGGGCGTTGTTAGGCATGACGGCGAAGAGGAGTTGAAAGGACAAAGTGTGCCTGTTATGTGCTATTCACTTTCACACAGTTGCTAAAATATGTTACTTTGCACACTCTTCATATCACAGTCCTGCAAAGATGACAGAAAATCACTCGCATTTGCTGTCCTGCTGAAACATGAGAGCAGTCGTGTTTTAGACCAAACGTATAATGGTAACGCTTCAGTGAATGCGGAGATAACGTAGACTCACTGTATTACGGACACCTGGCAACAGTAAACGTCACGCAAGATATCAATCCGTGGAAAGTTAAACCTGATTGGCTCGTCTGTCTCTGGGGACATGCCTTCCACACGTTCCAAAGTTTGATTGACACATTTTGGAGTAACTATTTTTGGGAAAATCTTGAAAAAACTGCCGGGAGACGCAAATTTCTACTCACTGTGTTTCGGACAGTTAAGGAGGAGTCATTTCTAATATAAAACACATACATTTCAACAAATATAACTTGTTAAACTAATCAGATTAATCTTTATAACTTTGTTGTATAAGCGTCTATACACTCTTTTAATCGACAATTGCTCATGTGAGCATTATATTTTAACATTAACGTTTAAATCCCTTACAAAAATACAAATATTTGCAAATTGTAACTCATAATTGTTTTATAAGACCATAAGAATGTTTGTTTTAGTCATTTTCTGGTGGGTGATCATGTTTTAAGACCCGTTTTCGACGGAGTCCTTCTACGGAAACCTTCCCCCGCCATTTTCTGAACACTCATTGGTGTGCGTTAGAAACTCACGTTGATTTCTTGAAAACGACTGACTCTGGAAATATAGGGTTTGTCGGAATCGAAACAGGAGACAAAGAAGACATGGATATATATATGCCTTGACCTGAAAGTGTTCAT